TAGGGCAATTACCCCAAAACTCAAACCCAGCTTTCCCTTTGTGATATGGAATCTTGTAGTACAATTTCATAAAGATCCATACACTTACACACAAGTTATTGTCCTGAAACTAGAAAAATGCTTGTTTTTTTGCCCCTTTTTGACCCTAATTCCTAAAATTTTGAGGCAATTACCCCCAAAATCAATCCCAGCGTTCCCTTTATGGTATGGTACCTTGCAGTACAATTTCAGAGAGATCCATACACTTGAACACAAGTAATGGTCTGGAAACTAGAAAAATGCTTATTTTTGGCCCCTTTTTGGCCCCTTATTCCTAAACGTTTTGGGCAATTACCCCCAAACTCAATTCCAGCTTACACTTTGTGATATGGAACCTTGTAGTACAATTTCATAAAGATCCATACACTTACACACAAGTTATTGTCATGAAACTAGAAAAATGCTTGTTTTTTGCCCCTTTTTTGGCCCCTAATTCCTAAAAGTTGGAGGCAATTACCCCCAAAATCAATCCCAGCATTCCCTTTGTGATATGGAACCTTGTGGTACAATGTCAGAGAGATCCATACACTAACACACAAGTTATGTCTGGAAGTTACAAAAATGCTTATTTTTGGCCCCTTTTTGGCCCCTAATTCCTTAACTGTTGGTACCATAACCCCCAAAATCAATCCCAGCCTTCCTTTTGTGGTATTGAACCTTATGGTAAAATTTCATAGAGATCCATTCACTTAAACTAAAGTTAGAGTGCGAAAAAAACCAATGTGCCTTCGGACGACGACGCCAACGTCATACCAATATACGACCGCAAAAAAATGCAGTCGTATAAAAAGTTAGGTCTAGTTATTCAGAACATTTTTGGCCCTGTCAGATTTACTCTATCTGTAACGGTTTTCAAGATATGTCAATGTTGGCATTTAACCCCCTTGTTCTATATTTAGCCATAGGGGCCAAGTTTTTTGATCAGCAATAATCAAAGACATAATTTTGAAACAAGATACCCTGAAGGAGTTTGTGGCCAAGTTTGGAACAATTGGCTTAGCAGTTTCAGAGGAGAAGATTTTTGTAAAAGTTAAAAGACAAAGGAAAATTAGTAAAAAAAAATCGTCATTTAAGGGCAATAACTCTTACAAGGAGTCATCTGATGATTTGAGTCATATATCTTTAAGTAGATCATGTATTGCTGAACATTTTTACCTTTAAAAGTTTCTTTTTATCTATTACAGTTTTTCAAATTAGAACTGTTTTAGGGAACTAAAACAAATGTCTCCCCTTCTTCAGCTGAATGATATTATTCAATCAAAAGCTAGTGCAGGATAAAAATGTTGTGTGACAATTTTTCCTGCAACAGTTCAAGAACCTACATGTAGTGAAATGGAAATTTGATAATGTCGGGAAAAAGTTTTAAGATAGAAGGATTTATTTCTTCCAAAGTCATCAATGCAGAATGAAATGAATAGTTGATTTAAAACTCCTATAGGTCTACTAAACTGGAAAAAATCAGCGCCTTATCTTCAGAAAAAAAAATTCTGGAAAACCTGTTATCGTAATAAATTTTCTAAGCAAAGGGCTGTAAATCCATCAAATCTCAAAGAAATGGAATGAAAACAATCATTTTAAAAAAAGGGGTGGGGTGGAACTACCTTCTTACACCATTCAATGCACCATGTTGTGAGGAACAAGAAAATGTATGGTTTAGGGGTGGGGATCTCAAGCGTTTACAAGATATTCAATAATTTTGAAAATGGAGGGGTGGGGTTGACCCTGGGGAACTAACTACTTACACTATTCAATGTGCCTTGTTATGGGGAACAAAAAATATGGTTTAGAGGTGGGGATCTCAAGCTTTTCAAGTCATTCAATCATTTTGAAAATAAGGGGTTGGGGTTGACCCTGAGAAACTTACTACTTAAACCATTCAATATGCCTTATTGAGAGGAACAAGAATCTATATGGTTTAGGGGTGGGGATCTCAAGCGTTTACACAAAAGTTATTAAATCATTTTGAAAATGGAGGGGTGGGATGGCCCCTGGGGAACTAACTACTTACACCATCAATTGCGCCTTGTTGTGAGGAACAACAAAATATATGGTTTAGGGGTGGGGATCTCAAACGAAACATAAACTTGATCTGTAACTCATCAAGGTAGACTCACATACCAAAAATCAGCTCAATACCTGCAAGAATGTGGAAAAAAGTGTGGAAAACTAAATGTTGAGAAGAAAAACAAGAACAAGAACAAGAACGAGAAGAGTTCTTGGTAAAACAATATGACTCCTTTCTTTCAAGGGGAGACATAATAATAGCCAAAAACTGTAAAATTTGTCAAATATCTTCATTTAAGGGCAATAACTCCTACAAGGATTTATCTGACGACTTGGTCATAAATATTTTTTGTCGATTTTTTTCATGTTTCTTGCAGAACATTTTAGCCATAAAAAGTTTTTCTATCTATTATAATTTTTGAAATGATAGTCAAAAACTGTAAATTTATGAAATATCGTCATTAATGGGCAATAACTCCTTTTAGATGTAGTCTAACATTTTTTACCTAAATAGAACATTTTTGGCCTTGTCAGATTTTCTCTATTTGTAACGGTTTTCAAGATATAAGTCAATATTGGCATTTTACCCTTATGTTCTATTTTTAGCTATGGAGGCCATGTTATTTGCTAGACAAGAACACCAAACACAATTTTTAAACTATATACCCTGGGGATCTGATGATTGTGGCCAATTTTAGTTACAATCATGACAATTGGCCATGTAGTTTCAGAGGAGAAGATTTTTGTAATAGTTAACGGACAGATGAAGGACACACAGTGATGAGAAAAAGCTCACTTGGCTCTTTGGGCCAGGTGAGCAAAAAACAGAAACAAAATCAAATGAAAAATAAAGATTCTATGAGAAATTAGAAATTGACCATTTTGGCCCCTTTTAACCCCTTAAAGCTCAAAAACCATAAGACCTAGCTCTAATTTGATCAAGAAAGGATGTTGGAAATTTTATAAGGAATACACAGAAACAAACCCCATCGAAACTGGACAAGAAATAAGACAGTTCATTTTTTTAGTTTGGTTCCAATTATACATTGGAGCTTGGAAACGATAATTAATTTAATGATCTGTTGTACCTCTATGAATGCAAAATTTTGAAAAAATGTGATCTAAATTGGACAAGAAATAAATGCTCCACATCAATAATGACACCTTTTTTTGCCCTTTTTGGCCCCTATTTCAGAGACCATGACTGAAGGGACAGTACCTCCAAAAACAATCCCAAACTGTATTATGGTTACCAAACACATGTTAAAATTTCATAACAATTGAGCAAAGATTACTCAAGTTATCGTCCAGAAGTGACCACTTATACCAACGACGACAGACAGGGGCAATACCAATGTATGACCACAATATTTTGCGGCCAAAAATGATCCCATCAAAATCAGGTCAGAAAACTAGATGCTCAAAGGAGCCTGAACCACTCACTTGGCATTAAAGCCTTGTAGAACTTTTCTTGCTGAACATTTTTGCACTTTAAGGTTTCTTTCTATCTAAATGTATTATAGTTTTTTTAAATAAAAGCCAATAACGGTAAAATTTGTGAAAAATTGTCAACTCCAATAAGACTTAGTCCATCAATTTTGGTTATATTAATTTTATAGTAGATCTTTTATTGCTAAACATTTTTGCATTTGAAAGTATCTTGCTATCTATTACAGTTATTTTGAAATAATCATGATAATAGCCAAAAACTGTAAAATCTTGCAAATTGTCATTTAGGGGCAATAACTCCAATGAGACTTTGTCCGACAATTATGGCCATTAAACTGATCTTTTATTGCTGAATATTTTTGCAATTGAAAGTTGCTTTCCATCTATTATAGTTTTTGAAATAATCGGCAAAAACGGTAAAATTTATTAACAGTCAATTAGGGGCAATAACTCCAATAAGACTTCGTCCATCAATTTTGATCATATTGACTTTCTTGTAGATGCTTTATTGCTGAACATTTTTGCATTGAAAGTTTCTTTCTATCTATTATAGATTTTGAAATAATAGCCAAAAATGGTAAAATTTGTGAAAAAGCGTCATTTAGGGGCAATAATTCCAATAAGACTTCCTCTCACAATTTTGACCTAAATAGAAAAAAAGCCAGAACTTGTCAGATTTTCCATATCTGTAACGGTTTTCAAGATATAAGCCAATATTTACATGTTTACCCCTATGTTCTATTTTTAGCCATGGTGGTCATGTTGGTCACTTGGCATGCATATCAGATATAAACTAGAAATACTGTAAGTGAGCTCACAAAAGAATACCCCCCGCATTGGTTCAAGAGTTAAAATCCAATTATCTCCCCTAGTAGCATTAGGACCATCATTATATTTCTTCAAAAAATACATATAAAGCTCTTCTTTTGTGTAGTTTCAATGAGATCCATTGATCGGTTCAGGAGGAGTTGCGCTTACGAGGCCAGTGTCCACAAACATATGTTTAAAAAGTTAAAGTCCAGTTATCTCCCCTTGTAGGATTTGGATCATCATTATATTTCTTCATGCACATCTACATATAATGTTCCTCCTTTGTGCAAAGTTTCATTGAAATCCATTGAAAGGTTTAGGAGGAGTTGCGCTTACAAGACTTATGGACAGACAGAGTGATTCCTATATGCCCCCCCCCCCCCCCCCAAAAAAAAAGTTTGTTTGCGGGGGGTATAATTATAAACTAGACATCATGTTGATGATTGTTGTAAGTTTGGTTATGATTGGCTTAGTAGTTTCAGAGAAGAAGATTGTTTTATAATTGTGGACGAATAACGGACTCAAAGTGATGGCAATAGCTCACCTGGACCTTTGGGCCAGGTGAGCTAAAAATATTTGGTATACTGATTAACAGTAGTCTTTCTAGCATCTTTAAAGCTTTGTAAAAGACATGTACATGTGATACATGTATGTACATTTATATTTTGAAGATTCATTTATGTATAGAGCTAACTCACTCTGGTTTCAAACAGCATAACACAGCAAAATCACTTATAAAACGTGTAAATGTTCCTTCATATATTGTTTTTTTCAAATGTGTTCTGTACTCTTCACATTTTCTAGCAAGTGTCTGGACAGCTATCATAAACTCTCTAATAGTTGATCTTACAAATCTGAAAAAAATTATGAAAGAGCTATAAATCATAGGCTTCTTGAGAAGCTTCATCAGTGATGCATGATTAAGCCGCACCATGTCAACAAGGGAAAAATTAAGAACTCAGAAAGCTCATTCAATAAAGAGCTTTGAAAAGTGCAGCATTATATGGCCATAGATGGCGAACAATTGTTTATTATCTGTAAGCAGTGACATAGTATTATAATAAAATAAATATTCTAGGAACAAACTAGTAGCTCACTATAAGATACATGTAACCCCTCCAAAAAAATCAGTTGAATCAAAATCTTAAATAGGAGGTGCAAAATGGCATTATAAAAATTAAGATTCTGAGAAAGTTTCACTGAAATCCATCCAGTGGTTTAGAAGGATCACTATATATCACGGGGTGGGGCAGACCAAGACCTATTTTACCATGGCCCAGCGGCATGGTTTATAACTTATTATAAGTCAGCATCATGGTCAAAGTAGTGTGCCATGATTTAAATCAGAATTTACTTTAAGTCAGCATCATGGTCAAAGTAGTGTGCCATGATTCAAATCAGAATTTATTTAACAAGCATATATGTAATTTACATGATTCACCTGAAAAACAGTTACTGAAATTGTACTTTTATTAGCGGGTACACATATTTTCAGTGTTTCCTGTACTCAACAAAGGTCGCAGGTATTCAAATTTGCAGATTTGTCAACATAAATGTAAGATACATATTTCTTTTACATTGTATGTATTTGGAGCTGTATTAATATGTGTGGGTATTTATTTTTACCTACCTACAAGTAACATATATTGTACAGATAGAGTTACTCCCCCTTTTCCTTCCATATACATAATTCAGTCTCCAAAAAAGATTATCATAAAAACGTATTATAAAGCAAAATTTATAAATTATATGTAGACTTTTGTATTGGCTAAAATAATAAAACATTACAGAAGCACCATAGGTGTATTAACTGAGTTTAGATCACAATTGATGTGTACTGACAGAATTGTTTTTTTATATTACTTTGGCCATAAAGTGTTTTTAGACTCAAAACTGATTAAAACGTTTTAAAGTAAACAGTTGCAAGTTTTATTTAGTTGCCAAGGTGCCTCTTGTAAAATAAGCATGAATGCTCGAGACTCACCACGACAATTTTCTTGTATAACTGTGACCTTGACCTTAGATTTTAAAACCCTAAAATATATACTGTTGAATAGATATCATCCACATTCCAGAAACGAACAAATTTGTCAAAATTCCAATCTTTTTAGTAGCCACTGTGACCTTGACCTTTGACCTAGAAAACCTAAAATCAATAATCTTCCTCCTCTCCATAAGATACATTTATGACCCAAGTTTGGTGAAGATTGAATATACTGTTCACTAGTTATCATCCCGAAACCAAATTGTCAAAATTTAGGTCTATATAGCAATTGTGACTGTGACCTTGACCTATGACTTAGTGACCCCTAAATCAAAAGGGTTCCTCCTCTCCATAAGATGCATACATGTATATGACCCAAGTTTGGTCAAGATTGGATATATTGCACAGGGTGGATACGACCTAAATGGGAAAATGCAAATTTACCTATCTGGATCTTTCATTGACCTCTCTATAGTGTCCTTTATTACATCTTTCAGGTGTTGTGTAATGCCTGTTGCAGGATAATGAGCCACCGATTGAGATAATATCAGTTCCATAAATTTAATATCAAAATTTAAATAACGCTTCACCTTCTCCATATATTCACTTTGCTTTTCGCTTAATTTTTCATTTGTAATTTTTTCCAAAATCGATGAAGGAGTTACCGCTGTGCCGCTACAAAAAAATTGTAACTCTTTCTCCACATCTTTTCGTGACCATTGTGATACCCAAATATGTAAATTTGAAGAAGGTGATAAATGAGCAGTGCGTTTACTTTTACCGGACCCGCTAGAAGCCACACAATTATCTGACATGATCGGTGTCTGAGCAGGGGAATATAAGTAAGGGGGAGGGAAACCAATGATAATATGGTGGGAAGATCCTATTCGAACCTCTATGTTTTTTTTCTATTAATAAAAGGTCAATACACAGTTTTGTTTACCTAGGCGGCGTATTAATCACAAGCACGCGCCGCTTCGTTCCTCCATTGTAGTTAGTATTATCATTAGTCGGTACTGACAGTGTTCTTTTTTTTTTTAAATTAATTTGTAACCTGCAATACTTCCTGTACACGTTATACCTTCCGCGGTGTATTCGAACTGTTTCATTTTACGTACATATTCCACTGTAGTCTTTTTTCTCTTGTTACACTAGTCCTAGACGTGCACATTATCTTTTTTTTTTAAAGTCTTTTGGTGATATTTTCGTTTTTCTTTCTTTTTTTTTTTTTTGAAAAAGGGGGGGGGGGTGCACTCGGTAGTAAAAACGGTATAGAGTAAATAAAATATAACAAATAGCAAAATAAGTAAAGAATATATCGGAAAAGAAAGTATTGCCCCCGAGGTCATAAATGAGTGGTCTTTTATTATACAAGAATGTAAATTTTATGAGTCCCTTTCTATTTCTTTTTAATAATTGCTGAAGCCGTAACCTTTGATATTGGTATTGTGTTGTTTACCACACGGTTTGCATTGCCTTTATGGTTTATTCCTATTCAAAGAGATTGTAATTTTTCTCATTATGGATTTAAAATTTGAACTCTCGGTAGTTGGTACTTTGATGATCCAGCCACAAAACTCTATCTAAAACTCAAGGATACGCAGTGTACGAATGAATATATTTTGTATAAATTCATGATTTCATTTAATACGTTATTTCATATGTTACTTTTTTTATTACACGTATTGGCAAGCGATCCGATAGTAATTCATTTTTCTTTCATTGGATAAATAATCCTACTTACTTGTATCTGAGACTACTATGTTATAGTAGTCTCAGTTTGTATTGTTGAAATGTAAAAACTACGAACAATCGTTTAATTAACTGGCCATGCGCCTCTACCATGGCAACATGATGACAAAAGGGGATTTTACCACAGATGTAGGCCTGCCCTACATGCATTTTCTCCAGTTCCAATGTGTGTTTTCAATATTTCTCCGTTTTCATCTTCAATCAATGTTCCATATAACATACCCGGTGCGGATCCAGGATTAAAAAAAGGGGGAACCACAAAAACGTTAGGACTGGGGCATACAAAGTCTATATGCAAGAGACAAGTAGCCCCATAAGGTAGGGCGGTTACTCTTGTCCACCCACCCCTCAATCCAACTCTGCATTTTTAGCATAAAATCGTATAAGCAATCCTAGATCTGGACCGGCCCCAAATTCTTTTGATTCTTGTTTTGAAAACTCATAATCAGAATCAGCGAACGACAATCACCGAAATACAGGAGCACCTGTGTTGACCCATTGGTGGCAATGGGCTGTTTTCTGCACTTTGGTCGGGTTGTTGTCTCTTTAACACATTCCCCGTTTCCATTCTCAGTTTTATCCTCGATGACATGGGACAAACGCATACAGAACCTGGAAGGATTAATAATGTTTGTTAGCGCCCAGTTCTCCCTATGACTCGGGACAGTGGTCAATTTTATTCATGACCCTCTCTTTAGGACATTTTAAAGATAAACAAGACTTCGTCAGAAAGCCACAAAAAAGTATCAAAGACATATAACACAATTGCATTATTTGTCTCTGAAAGTATATAAGCTCAGCACTGATCTTTGATATGAAGCTGTTATCAGTGAGCACAGCAAAACGGTTAACTACAGGATCCATGAGCCTAAACGCTGATCTATTTTTGTTTCAACTCGTCTTTAAGGACAATAACTCGCTGTATTACACTTATATGATCATGTGTAACTGTCAGAGATATATTCTGCCAGAGACATATATATATGTCTCTGGTAACTGCTGATTAATTTTGCTGTGTACTTTTGAGCATCTTCATTGGGTTTTTGATTATGTGATTACTTGGCCGTTTTTAGTGATTATTTGATTACCAGACCAATATTTCATGATTATTTGATTATTTGATAATCTAGGACTGTATTTTTGATTATTTGATTATCTTGTTTTAAAAAAATAATTAATGATTATGTGATTATCAGATTGGTAAATAATTGTGATTATATGATTACTTGGACACCCCATGAGGGGCCTCACTTTTAATCCTGTCTATTATGTTTTCAGGTAAATAGACAAAAACGCTATTGTTGTTGGCAAAAATGAGTCATTTAAGGTAAATAATTCCTGTAGAAATAAAATTCATGTATGTCTTTTTTGACACCACAGACACATGTTTCATCCGATGATGAAGCCATCTCTCTCTTTATTAAAGGTGCCTAAGTTTGAGATTCTGAAAATATTCCATCTAGTGATTACACAATTTATTCATTTTACTGTTCTATCATGGGCCAAGTTGAGCAATGAATTGACATACAATAATGAAGCAATATTTTACACACCACTTAGGACCAATCTATCCGAAACTTTGGTTTGAATTGGTTCAGTAGTTTCAGGGAGGTTCTTTCAACTACAGTCAATAGAGAGGTCTGTGTCACTCACTTGGATCTATGTGCATCTTCAACAAGAGTGCACACGCTGAAATGTCTCGCCTACTATACTGACAATTGATTTTATGTTGATAGTCAAGTACATATAAAGTTTTACTACAAGTATCACATTTACATTTATGATCCAAGAAAATTAGGTCATGGTCAGATAAACCAAGCCAGAAATACATGTACACCTTTAATACAATCATTCCATACACGTAATATAGATGACCTATTGCTTATAGTATAAAAGAAACAGACCAAACCATGGAAATTCTATATTGACCAATGAACCATGAAAATGAAGTCAAGGTCAGATGAACTCTGAGAAACAGACATGTACACCTTCAAATCATTCCATGCATCAGATATAGTTGACCTACTGCTTATAGTATCTAAGAAACAAAGTTAACAAGGAAAACTGAACAATGGCTAATGAACCATGACAATGAGGTGAATGTCAGATGATACCTCCCAGACAGACATCTACAACATATACACCTTACAATCATTCCATACACCAAATATAGTTGACCTACTGCATACAGTATTAGAAAAACAGACCAAAACACAAAAACTTGACATTGAGAAATGAACCGTGAAAATGAGGTCAAGGTCAAATAAAACTTGCCAAACTAACATCTACATCGTAAAATATTTCCATACACCAAAAATAGTTTACCTATTGCATACAGTAATAGAAAAAAACAGACAAAACACAAAAACTTAACATTGAGCAATGAACCATGAAAATGAGGTCATAGAAAACCTGCCAGACTGACATGTACAACGTAAAATATTTCCATACACCAAATATAGTTGAACTATTGCATACAGTATTAGAAAAACAGACAAAACAAAAAAGCTTAACATTGAGCAATGAACCATGAAAATGAGGTCAAGATAAAATAAAACCTTCCAGACTGACATCTACATCGTAAAATATTTCCATACACCAAATATAGTTGACCTACTGCATGCAGTGTTAGAAAAATAGACCAAAACACAAAAACTTAACATTGAGCAATGAACTGTGAAAATGAGGTCAAGGTCAAATAAAACCTGCCAGACTGACATGTACATCGTAAAATATTTCCATACACCAAATATAGTTTACCTATTGCATACAGTAATAGAAAAACAGACCAAAACACAAAAACTAAACTATAACCACTGAACCATGAAAATGAGGTCAAGGTCAGATAACACCTGCCAGTTTGACATGTACACCTTACAATCATTACATACACCAAATTTGATCAAATTTAGTAGACCTATTGCTAATGGTATCTGAGATATGGACTAGACCACGAAAACTTAACCTTGCTCACTGATCCATAAAATGAGGTCGAGGTCAAGTGAAAACTGTCTGACAGGCATGAGGACCTTGCAAGGTACGCACATACCAAATATAGTTATCCTATTACTCATAATAAGAGAGAAATTAACATTACAAAAAATGAACTTAATTTTTTTTTTCAAGTAGTCACTGAACCATGAAAATGAGGTCAAGGACAATGGACATATGACAGACGGAAACTTCATATCATAAGGCATTTATATACAAAGTATGAAGCATCCAGGTCTTCTACCTTTTGAAATATTAAGTTTTTAAGAAGTTAGTCAACGCCGCCGCCGCCGCCGCCGGATCACTATCCCTATGTCGAGCTTTCTGCGAAAAAAGTCGCAGGCTCGACAAAAATGGACACTGTCTTACATTATAGACTAGAATCTAATTCATCACTCATATCTTATTTGTTAATCGAGTCTATTGCTGATCATTTTGGCTGGTTACAGTTTCTATTTAACTACTATTGAATTTGCCCAAAATGAAAATAAAATTGAGAATGGAAATGGGGAATATATGAAAAAATGGATTAAATCAGCATTTAAGGATAATAATTCCTTAAAGACTCATCCAATAGTGTACTGACCAGAATAAAAAACAACAAAGTTTATACTAGACATCATAAGAACCATTCACCTCAAGTTTGGTAAAAATTTTACAATGGCCAAGTAAGGTAAATAGCTCAGTGGCTTTACGGGGATGTGAGCTAAAACGTTTACAGACGACATACAATGAACTGAGTATGATGGCACATTTAGTCGCTTTTGCTAGATAAGCTTAGAAAAAAGATTCTCTCATAAATTATGTATTTTTAATGTCTGTATGCTGGAATATATACATTGTTTATTGTATTAATTTGCGTATGTTCTTGATCCAAAACAAACTTGTTTCATAAGTTTATGACACTCGCCTTCATCATGTTAGGTCAACCTTGATATCATTATGATGCCAATGAAAATTGCTAATTTATTCAAAGTCACTGAACCATGTCCTAGGTGGCAGGGCCTCAAAATAGTCGTCAAACTAAAATTTAAATGTACTGATAGTAATACAACCTTATATTAAAACCCCACAAAAAACCGGGGGTGATATCAGGTGCTCCGGAAGGGTAAACAGATCCTGCTCCACATGTGGCACCTGTCGTATTGTTCCTGTAAGTACAAACCCGTTGATAAGTATAGTTTGGTGGGTCACATTCTAGGAAGAGGACGGGATTGTTGTTACGACAATTGGAACATATCCGGCGTCATCTATGAAACAGATATTCCATAACGATTAACCAACTCGTGGTGGCGTCCGTAAAATATTCGAAGGAATGATTTCAACTTCACCACTTGAAACTCTTGGTTTAATAGCTTCCTTGTGAGCAGCAACACTCTATCAGGAAACCATGATAGGTAACGCAAGCTCTGGAATATCGTATCAACTGGGAGAGTAACATTAAAATACAATTGGCAGGTCCTGTAATAGGGCATCGACCGGGATGAAGAGAGGGAAATTTAGAATGATTGAGAAAAAATGGGAATATATTTGATAGGAACAGTAGTTTGTCCTTGAACAATGTAAAATGTCACCTACGGTCCACTCAAAGAGATGTTAAAGGGGTTCTTAAATAACGTGCATGCAGAAAGTGGTGGTACTCTCTGCTCGAGGCATCGTATTTTAAAGTCCTTATTCTGACCGGACTTGGTTGTGAATTTATACATCCCACACAGGCAAGATTTGCTATTAATGTACTTATTAGAGGGCCAAAGGATTATTATGAATAGCCATTAATTCTTCTCAACTAATATTGTTGAATTAACACATGATGAATGAATTTCTCAATATACAAATACAGAGATGTTGTACGATATGTAAGATTATCAATGAGACAACCGCCAACCAAGGAACAGACACGAGGATGTAAACAACTGTAGGTCACCTTTAGTCCTTTAACAATGAGCAAAACCTAAACCGTATAGTAAAATATAACATGCCAAGGCATGAAAAAATGTGAAAGAAATCAAAAGAGAAAACCAACAGTATAATTTATACTTAAAAACAAATATGACATACAGCAGCTAACGACAGCAACTTCACTATCATGTACTTCCTTCCAAATACGAGAATCTGGATAGGGTTTACAGAATTGGAGAATAATGTGCAAAAAGTGCAGAATAAATGGCTAAAAAATTAAAGAATAGAGAAAAATAGGCAACACAAATAAAAATTAGAGAATAATGGGGTGCTGAAATATAAAGAATAGAGAATAAGGGTCAAAATAAATAAAGAATAGAGAAAAATGGTATGAAAAGTTAAGAGTAAACAATACTTGTTGTAAGATTACATTTATACTATAATGCTTTATTTTCATCCTACCGACGAAATATTTACTTGTAAATTTTTATAAGAAGTAATATCAGTGGTTTGAAAGTCTTGACCTCTTTCTGTATACCCTTCAGCTCCTGGACCAGATCGTGACATAAACACACGGAATTTAGGATTATGTTCATATGTGTCACCATAACTGCTGTTGTCAAGCTTTGAGTCAAATATACTGGCAGCTACCTTTACAAATTCTGGGTTATGTACCGGAAGAGGCTCATTAAAGTGACTTATTTTTATATTCGAGTTGAAAATGTCTGTTGATGTCATTGCACGACTGTTTCTTTCAAATCCAGACATTGGTGATTTTGTTGACGAGAAAATTATAGTTTTATTTTTCAAAAAGATGCTGTCACCACGTGTCAAGTAATGTACCATGACATTGGTAATGCCGTAGGAATTATACTTTACTGTTATATTTGACTGGGAAACATCCGCGAAAAATACGCCTTTGTACCCAATTACCTGAAATCAAGAAGAAATTCATAATGATAAAACATAACTGAATTTAAATTTGTAAACAATTATAAACACTGCACATAATGTTTTTTCTCTCATTATTGACGGTCATATCATGTTTTCCTTACTTTTTTACTTTTCCTCCTTTTTGACTAACAATAGGTGACTATTTGTCGCACTAGCAATCATGCCACGTCTGATTTTAAATTAATATTTAATATAAATGAAAAGTTCTTTGGCCCTGATACAGTAAAGTAAAATTGAAAATAGAATACAGTATAAATGCGTTTAAGTGCTTGGCGTGCGGGGTAGACGGCTGAACATGGTGTTGAATATCCCTCTTTAACTATACTGTTAGTAATCACCCAATCCAAATCTTCTTACATTTTCATGACAACGAATATTTTCGAATTTTCATAGCAAAAATGTCACATTTCATTCCGTGTTCATGATATTTCACCAAAAAACCCTTCATCAATGTTTACTTGTAATCAGCAATACGCTTAGTGTTACTAATGGAGAAAGAACTACCTACATTTACGAAGCACCTGAGTGTAATTGTGGTTTTAGAATTTTCGTTTTCTTCCATTATTTATTTTCATGTAAATTGCTTGTGGAATATTGTTTAATTTTGTGTTCTTTCATTAAGTAATTGTATTTTCTTTGCGAATTTGAAGAGCGTTGAAAACCAAAAAAATCCAAATAGTTGTGCCAAATACGTCATTTATGCACTGGGGTAGCAAAACCTCAGTATTTTCAATAATGAAACATTATATATATATATAGTAATTTATAGAAAGTGACCATATGAATGATATTTCACATCAAAACAGAAGTGCTGACTAATGGACTGACAATAGCCTCAGAGCGAATCACCCAACAGCAGTAGCATCGTACCAGTAACAACTCATAAAAGATACCAGCTTTTTGATTATCTCTGTTGTTTTCATTCTCAACTTTTTTATGAATTGACGGAAATATTGACTATTCTATATGGATTTACAAAACGATATGAAAATTTCTCCAGAGGTCAAAATAAGACAAAACTACTTTGGAATCACGGAGTGACGTATAGATGCCGATTTTGACAGGGAAATTTGATGGAGATAAATGGTGCTCTCTTAAATATTACTTCAGCTTTTTCGTCTTCAGTCCCAACATTGGTAATTACTATGGCTGTGTCTTCGTCAATGCCGAACCCCCAATCAGTACCATGATGTAAATGACGAGTGTCCGATAAAAGTCGTATTAACCGTCCCTCTCTTCCTCGTTCACTATAGATAAATATGAGAGCATACTAGATAATGAAATACAATTGGTATTATTCATAAACTTATGTTCACTAAGACTTCTTCTTATTAAGAATACAATTAATAAGGGCGAAATAATATATTTCCAAAGATAAGACACTTAACTAGAAGTTGAATTGTGAATATTTATTGATTGATTGTTGTTCGATATGACGACATTAGATGATAAAACTGGTAGATATAATTTGCAACATGTGTCAACCGGGATCTTAGACATAGAATTTTGACGTCTTTTGGAGTATCAAAAGAACTAGACATCAGGGGGCAGATCCCGGATTTTGAAAAGGGGTCCGAATTATGATAATTCGTGAAAATGGAATGTTAACTACCGAGCGGAGCGCAGCGAAATTTTTTTTTCGTCTATTTTATGCTAAAAATGATATATTTTCCCCCTGAGTCTGCCACTGGATATTATTACCTAAAATGTGCATCAATAATAAAACCATCCAGTAGTCCCACTCCACCATCTTTGTCATACAACTGATAATCTCTATCACTCACTTCTGATCCTTCATATGTTCCAAACTGTAGTGCATTGTAACTAGATCCAGCTGTAACACAGGGTAGAAATATAAAGTATAAAATAATGATCTAAACGTAAGTGTAGTTCTTATCTAGAATTAGGTTTGGTAATGTCAAATAAACACGTCGCTTGCTTTGGTGGTTATTGAAATAAAAAAGAACAACAAACTATCTGCATTTCGAAATAACATTAAATAAATCATTGAATGTATATACGCGCATGAAAAAGCATATAGCATTTTAAGTGATATTCCTCACATCATGTTATTATGAAATGCACATGGAAAGGTGTTTTAGAAAAACATCATCTTTTAAAGATCATATCCAATTACCGGCTATCACTCCTGTAGATGCAGATGCAATATTGGACCAGTATTCCCGATTGCCATTTAGAACAGTTATTTTTGTCCCCCGCGCAATGCTTTGAGGGGCATAAAAATACCGGGCATCCGTCCGTCCGTCCGTCCGTCCGTCCGGTCTTGTTAGCGCTTTCACGTGTACAATTCTTGCCAGATTTTTATTAAATTTTTATCATAGGTTTATATCAGCAATGTTTCGAATAAGTTCGAAAATCATTACCGCCGATCAAATATTTTTAAAAGAGTTATGCCCCTTGGAAATATTAATTATATGGAAAATTGCATTGTAAGCGCTCTCATATGTACAATTTTAGCCAGATTTTTATTAAATCTATTTCAAATGTTTATATAAGCAATGTCTCGGACAAGTACAAAAATCAGTGCCGATCAAATATTTTTAAAAGAGTTATGCTCCTTGGAAATATTTATTATATTGGAAATTGCATTGTATTTACTCTCAAGCCTTCATTTCTCTGACATTTGTAAAAAGTTTTAAAGAACAAAAAAGAAAGAAGTTTTTTAGTTTTTGCCCTTAGATAGATAAAATATGTGAAACGCGGGGGACATTGGAATTCTGTTTTTTTTTTTTTTTTTGCTATCATGTACAGCAGGTTTTTGTCTGCAGTTCCGATTGCCATTGCAGTACAATGATTTTGATATCGTGTTCAGCAGATTTTGTTTCATTTTTTTTTACATATTGCATCTGCAGTACCGATAGACCGTTATAAGGTGTGAAGATGGTTGGTAGTTTTTTTTTTCTTCATCTTAATTGTAATCGCACTAGGCGAATGGTAATGTCAATTTTTACTGAACTATTACATGGGGAATTAATTAAACTAAAAAGACAAGCAACACGATGCTCGAGAGTTACACCATAAGTTTGTTTTTTTTTTAAATTGTAAAACCTGCTTATTATATGTGTATATAACTGTTATTTTTTTATACTAATTTAAAAACTGAGGAACACTGATGAAATGCATGCATGAAAGTATTCCTCAATAATGTAGTCCTGGACCAGTATAAATTATGTTAGAGTCTGTATGGGGGGGGGGGGGGGGGGGGGGGGGTTCGTCATTTCTTTATTCTTTAGACTATCTTTCTCTATTCTTTCTTTATTTTGCCCACTATTTTCTCTTTTTTTTATGTTTTAGCACCCCATTATTCTTTACTCTTTATATTTTTGCCCTTCATTTCTGCACTTCTAAATCCCATTCAGACCTTCTTATATTATAAATATTATAGTATATATATGGCAAGCCGTTTTACTATTCAATTGAAATTCAAGATATCTCATATAATATATAAGATATCTTATATAATATATAAAATATCTCATATAATATATAAGATATTTTATATAAATCTAGTTTTTATAAGATATCTTATTAACTTTACAACATATCTTATATACTTTATAAAATATCTCATAAACTTTATAAGATATCTCTTATACTTTATAAGATATCTTATAAAGTTTATAAGATATCTAATATAGTTTAAAAGATATCTCATACAATTTATAAGATATCTTTTAAAGAAAATTATATGAGATATCTTATGAACTATATAAGATCTCTTATAAACTATATAAGATATCTTATAAACTATATGAGATATCTTATATAACATATACGATATCTTATATAATATATACGATATCTTATATAATATTGAGATATCTTATATAATCTAGTTTTTATAAGATATCTTAAATAGTATATGAGATATCTTATATATTATATAAGATATCTCATATACTTTATAAGATATCTTATATACTTTATAAGATATCTTATATACTTTATAAGATATCTCATATATTTTATAAATATCTTATATAGTTTATTAGATATCTCGTATAGTTTATAAGATATCTCATATAATTCATAAGATATCTTATAAAGAAAATTATATGAGATATCTTATAAACTATATAAGATATCTTATAAACTATATGATATATCTTATAAAGTTTATTAGATATCTTGAAGTTAGAATAAATAGTAAAACGGCTTGCAATATATATATAATAGATAACTACACAAACGTACTTACTACCACCCCACGCCATAACAGCTGATGGCATACATTCTGCCCCAGCACTGCTTCCTGATACGAGAATTCCAGCATTAAACATCTCTTTTATAGCAAGAAGCGCTGGTGACGGAATATGATTTTTTAAAAACAACCTGAAAGGTGATAAAATTGTATATTATCCGTCAATATGGTGTGAACTACAATAGCATGCTCTTCTATATATTTCTCTTATTTTTCAAACATACAAAACACTGGTATTGATTTGGTATGCTTAAACAAAGGAAGGTTGTTTTGGTTGATAGTTGCATCTTTTCCAATTATAACAGATCTCCATATTTTTTTTAGACTTTACTACATCGTTTTCAACGAGAAACGCGATACCAAGTTGAAAAAAAAAAGCATTCGAATGAGTACAGAATCACTAGCGGAAAATCGCTGCCGTTGAGCTATATCATTACAACCATATTATCCGCTAATTTAGTCACTTTATCAATAACATGGAGGTAATGAGGGGATACATGATGAAGAAAATATATACATAATGTTGTTAACAAAAAAGCTAATATAATAATCATATTTATTTATTCTACAAAGGGCCTTTTGCTTTTACCAATTTCTAATGCATATTTCGCTTTCAAAGCATTCGCCTCGAAGATCAATATATCCAAATACGTGTCCAGCGTAAAAAAAAGTTTTATCTTGCAGTATCTTAGTATGAAACTAGCCATTTTGAGCTTACGAGTCAAAAAATAGAACAATCTTCGTTACTTGACATAATGTTTGAGGGTCTGGAATCTATGGATGGGGTTTGATGAATAGAGAATGATAGATTGAAATAGAGAATAGAGAATGATATATTAAAATAGAGAATATTGGGCAAATAAATAAAGAATAGAGAAAAATAGACCACCAATTATATGAAATAGAGAATAATGAGATGCTAAGATATAAAGAAGGGGAATAATCAACAACAAAAAAGAATAAAGAAATGAAGACGCCCTCCTCTTCCAATTCAGACCATCATGTATTTTTTAAACTTACGATTCTATCACCTTTTCAGGTTCACCACCAGCAAAGAATATACCTGTCTGTTGTTTGATCTCTTCTGTGACATGAGGATCAGAATTCCCGGATGTAGTATTGACGTTGATTGGGATACAGTAAATTGAGCGAGCATGGTACATATTCACAAAAATATTAGAATAAAATGTACAGGTGGCATTAAAATCACCGGAAGCAGCTAACACTATACCAAGCTTTGCATGGTTTGCACCTCCCTGAAAAAATAACTGCATAATAAGTGCCTTCAAAAGAAAAAGTTCTGAAAAATGAAAATAATGTCTCAACGTAAAAGGATAGAATTACGGTTACATGTATATCGAAAACTTAAGTGAGTATAAGGCAATATAACACGTTTAATTTTCTTGTTCTGACTAACATCTTATAGTGGAGTGACAAATCAAGTAAAACTGCTTATTTCAAGAGTTTATTGGACCGACATACCTCACGCATGATGATAGGGTAATTGAAACATTAATAATACTATCATTTTAGCCCTGTCGTAGAGTTTCCCATGGTACATTTTTATGTAAAATCGCGATTAACCGTGACTTTCCGATTGTTTTCTTTTTTCTTCTTCAAACACGGAAACGCTTAATAATTTTAATATAATTAATTCCTGAATGAATATATCAGCAAATATTTGCTATAAAATGAAAGAGTAATGTATCAGCTTTCATTTAATATCAAACTTAAATGTCATATGAAAATACATATTGAGCATGTTCAGTGAATGATTTGAAGAATTGCAATTGCATTCGACATTTTTGTCAATCTTACTGTCTGTCAAAGTATATTAAATTTCTTGCATATATCACTCGTAGTCGGTTCTGACATAAAATAACGGAACAACATTGGCTTAGCTTACGTTGAGGCAACCGAGGCAGTTGCCTCGGTAAGTTGCCTCGGTAAAAAAAAATCCTTTATGATCTTTTAAACGATTTCCACCTAATACTAAGCGCTAATATACCGACTTGTATCGTCTGGTTGCCGTTATTGATTCATCCCTTTGCGAGTTCAAGACTTATGGAAACATTTCCCTCCCCTAGTTGGAAATTCCTTTTGCGGTAGTTTTCTGTAATCTAAATATGTCGGAGTAATAAAAATTGACACAATTGAAGCCGACAAATTTATTTAATCCTACCCCATTGCAAGCAAAAACAGTAGAATAGATGATGACCCAACTCACGAGTCTTCCCCGATCGAATCACTTGACCATTGATTTGAATCAGGTAAATTATTTAATTGTGTGTGAGAATAATTTCTAGTATATGAGATTTATAGAAAACAGAAAAATGCCCTGAAAATAATTTTAAAGAATAGAGATTTAAAATGGTGCTAAAATATATAAAAAAAAATGAAAATCAAACTTTGGGCGAAAAGAATTCAAAATAAATATTTGAAGACCTCCATTAAAACCCTTATATATAACTGGTAACGTCTAAAATTGAAACATCATTGTGTGTTGACATTTTCCCCCTACGTGTAGGGCTTCAAATACACAGAGTTTCATTGACTTTGGTACCAATCAAAATAAAATATACATCAGAAAATAATTTATATGTTGCGGTTCTCAAGTTTTTTCTTTCTCGCTATTTTAAATTTATATTTTTTCACTAGCAGGGAATTTAAAATATTTAAAGGAGTCACTAATTCCAGAGAAATATTTATTATATGTCAGTCAGTTCATACATAATGTCAGTTTATATATAAAAATGTCAACCAAATACTGTTTTCGTTTATTATGAAGACTTCAGAATAAAGTAAATGTTAGTATTTCGCCTCTTCTCATTTTCATAATTCTACATGTAGAATGTGTTAAGGATGTTCGCTACTCTGGGTTTTTGAATTTTTGTCAGATGTTCGGAATCCTCTGGTTTTATCCATGTAGTGCCATTAAACAATTTGCCCATTAACCCCTACTTTTCTTTCCATAAGTTTTGATGACTTGACTCAAGCTAGCGAACAATTGTAGCGAACAATTAGCCAGCGAACAATTAGGATGTATAACTAAAAATTTTCACATAAGACAATCACGTTTTTTTTGAGCTAGCGAACAATTACAGAAACCTAGCGGACAATTATGAGAATATTCAAAATATTAAACAAAAACGAATAAAAAAAATTAAAACAAAAGGGATACCATGAAGATTTTGACCAATTTATAGAGATTGTGACAGGCAACGACTGTTAACGTAACATAGAGGAGACATTATCGTGTCTAATGGTTTATGTTTAAAAATCTGAAGTTAAGTTTAAAAAACTGAAATTGTAAAAACGAAAAGGGAGGAAGGGGCATACATTAAGTTGATTTTTTACCCATTTATAGAGATTGTGACGGTACACGACTGCATAGGTGATGCGGCTGAGACATTAGCGTATCTATTAAGACAAACTCCAGGATGGTTTATATTAAAAAATCTGAAGTTAGGTTGAAAAAATTGTAATTAAAAACGAAAAGGGGGGATACCTTAAGTTGATTGTTGACCAATTTATAGAGATTGTGACGGGCAACGACTGCCTATAGGTGATGTAGAGGAGACATTGGCGCATCGTTTAGGAAAATCTCCAGAGTGGTTTATGCGCGAAAATCTTAATTTACGGTTAAAAAACTGAAATTGTGAAATTGACAAAATGAGATTAGGGGGGTAGGGCACTAAAATAAAATTTTGGACCAATTTGAAGAGATTGTAACGGGCAACGACTATATAGGTGTTGTAGAGGGGACATTGACGCATCGTGTAAGAAAATCTCCAGAGTGGTTTATGTTCGAAAATCTGAAGTTACGGTTAAAAAACTGAAAATTTTATTGTGAAATTGACAAAATGAGATTAGGGGGGGTAGGGCACTAAAAGAAAAATTTGGACCTTTTTAAAGAGATTGTGACGGGCAACGACTATATAGGTGTTGTAGAGGAGACATTGGCGCATTGTTTAAGAAAATCTCCAGAGTGGTTTATGTTCGAAAATCTGAAGTTACGGTTTAAAAACTGAAAATTTTATTGTGAAATTGACAAAATGAGATTAGGGGGGTAGGGCATTAAAAGAAAATTTTGGATCATTTTAAAGAGATTTTGACGGACAACGACCAAATAGCTGTTGTAGAGGAGACATTGGCGCATCGTTTAGGAAAATCTCCAGAGTGGTTTATGTTCGAAAATCTGAAGTTACGGTTAAAAAACTGAAATTGTGAAATTGACAAAATGAGATTAGGGGGTAGGCCAATTTAAGTTAATTTTGGACCAATTTCAAGAGATTGTGACGGGCAACGACTATATAGGTGTTGTAGAGGAGACATTGGCGCATTGTTTAAGAAAATCTCCAGAGTGGTTTATGTTCGAAAATCTGAAGTTACGGTTAAAAAACTGAAAATTTTATTGTGAAATTGACAAAAAGAGAATAGGGGGGTAGGTCACTAAAAGAAAAATTTGGACCTTTATAAAGAGATTGTGACGGGCAACGACTATATAGGTGTTGTAGAGGAGAAATTGGCGCATCGTTTAAGAAAATCTCCTGAGTGGTTTATGTTCGAAAATCTGAAGTTACGGTTAAAAAACTGAAATTGTGAAATTGACAAAATGTGATTAGAGGGGTAGGTCAATTAAAGTTAATTTTGGACCAATTTCAAGAGATTGTGACGGGCAACGACTATATAGGTGTTGTAGAGGAGACAATGGCGCATTGTTTAAGAAAATCTCCAGAGTGGTTTATGTTCGAAAATCTGAAGTTACGGTTAAAAAACTGAAAATTTTATTGTGAAATTGACAAAAAGAGATTAGGGGGGTAGGTCACTAAAAGAAAAATTTGGACCTTTATAATGATTGTGACGGGCAACGACTATATAGGTGTTGTAGAGGAGACATTGGCGCATCGTTTAAGAAAATCTCCTGAGTGGTTTATGTTCGAAAATCTGAAGTTACGGTTAAAAAACTGAAATTGTGAAATTGACAAAATGAGATTAGGGGGTAGGCCAATTAAAGTTAATTTTGGACCAATTTCAAGAGATTGTGACGGGCAACGACTATATAGGTGTTGTAGAGGAGACAATGGCGCATTGTTTAAGAAAATCTCCAGAGTGGTTTATGTTCGAAAATCTGAAGCTACGGTTAAAAAACTGAAATTGTGAAACTGACAAAATGAGATTAGGGGGGTAGGGCACTAAAAAAAAAATTTGGACCATTTGAAAGAGATTGTGACGGGCAACGACTATAAAGGTGTTGTAGAGGAGACATTGGCGCATCGTTTAGGAAAATCTCCAGAGTGGTTTATGTTCGAAAATCTGAAGTTACGGTTAAAAAACTGAAATTGTGAAATTGACAAAATGAGATTAGGGGTGTAGGCCAATTAAAGTTAATTTTGGACCAATTTCAAGAGATTGTGACGGGCAACGACTATACAGGTGTTGTAGAGGAACATTGGCGCATTGTTTAAGAAAATCTCCAGAGTGGTTTATGTTCGAAAATCTGAAGTTACGGTTAAAAAACTGAAAATTTTATTGTGAAATTGACAAAATGAGATTAGGGGGGTAGGGCACTAAAAGAAAAATTTGGACCTTTTTAAAGAGATTGTGACGGGCAACGACTATATAGGTGTTGTAGAGGAGACATTGGCGCATTGTTTAAGAAAATCTCCAGAGTGGTTTATGTTCGAAAATCTGAAGTTACGGTTAAAAAACTGAAATTGTGAAATTGACAAAACGAGATTAGGGGAGTAGGCAAATTAAAGTTAATTTTGGACCAATTTTAAGAGATTGTGACGGGCAACGACTATATAGGTGTTGTAGAGGAGACAATGGCGCATCGTTTAAGAAAATCTCCAGAGTGGTTTATGTTCGAAAATCTGAAGTTACGGTTAAAAAACTGAAAATTTTATTGTGAAATTGACAAAATGAGATTAGGGGGGTAAGGCACTAAAAGAAAATTTTGGATCATTTTAAAGAGATTTTGACGGACAACGACTAAATAACTGTAGTAGAGGAGACATTTGCGCATCGTTTAGGAAAATCTCCAGAGTGGTTTATGTTCGAAAATCTGAAGTTACGGTTAAAAAACTGAAATTGTGAAATTGACAAAATGAGATTAGGGGGTAGGCCAATTTAAGTTATTTTTGGACCAATTTCAAGAGATTGTGACGGGCAACCACTATATAGTTGTTGTAGAGGAGACATTGGCGCATCGTTTGATAAAATCTCCAGAGTGGTTTATGTTCGGAAATCTGAAGTTACGGTTCAAAATGAAATTGTGAAATTGACAAAATGAGATTAGGGGAGTAGGCCAATTTAAGTTAATTTCGGACCAATTTCAAGATATTGTGACGGGCAACGCCTATATAGGTAGTGTAGAAGAGACAATGGCGCATCGTTTAAGAAAATCTCCAGAGTGGTATATGTTCGAAAATCTGAAGTTACGGTTAAAAAACTGAAAATTTTATTGTGACATTGACAAAATTAGATTAGGGGGTAGGGCACTAAAAGAAAAATTTGGACCATTTATAAGAGATTGTGACGGGCAACGACTATATAGGTGTTGTAGAGGAGACATTGGCGCATCGTTTAAGAAAATCTCCAGAGTGGTTTATGTTCGAAAATCTGAATTTACGGTTAAAAAACTGAAAATTTTATTGTGAAATTGACAAAATGAGATTAGGGGAGTAGGGCACTAAAAGAAAAGTTTGGACCATTTTAAAGAGATTGTGACGGGCAACGACTATATAGGTGTTGTAGAGGAGACATTGGCGCTTCGTTTAAGAAAATCTCCAGAGTGGTTTATGTTCGAAAATCTGAAGTTACGGTTAAAAAACTGGAAATTTTATTGTGAAATTGACAAAATGAGATTAGGGGTAGGGCACTAAAAGGAAATTTTGGACCATTTCAAAGAGATTGTGACGATCAACGACTATATCGGTGTTGTAGAGGAGACATTGGCGCATCGTTTAGGAAAAATCTCCAGAGTGGTTTATGTTCAAAATCTGAAGTAACGGTTAAAAAACTGAAATAGTAAAAACGAGGGATGGCGTACCTTAAGATGATTGAAAACCAATTTGTAGAGATTGTGACGGGCAACGACTGTATATGTAACGTAGAGGAGACATTAGAGAAGACATTGACGTATCTATTTAGAAGAACTCCAGAATCGTTTATGTGTGGAAATCTGAAGTTAGGTGAAAAAAAATAGGGGGGGTTTACCTTGTATAATGGAATGATGTTACTTTTTATACTTGTATAAAAAAGTACATTAATATTTTTCCCGCGAAATTTATCCGACAGTATGTATACACCGTTTACAACACACTTTGTTGAAATCAACATTCTCTTGAGTCGGTAGTCCACAAACACGACAATGAAGTAAGTATTTTTTTATATTGAAATAACAGGGTCCTAAAACTTTGACAATGTCATTTTATATTCTTTTTGCATAAATCTTTCTGTCAACTCCTTCGCCGTCCACATAAAACATGGATGATTGTAAACGTGCACATTATTACATATTTGTATACTGCACACAACATAATTGATAATAATGGTCCCCAAAAATGGAAAGAAATATAATACTGTCCTATTAATTTTATTTTACTAATAAAAGAGAAGTGATATGCTGAAATAAAGAAGTAATTTGTCTGAAAGCTTTGGAATTGTCTTGTTGAATGACCAAACCACACCCCTTCCCTTTTTTCGACGAGTCAACGGTCGTTTTTAAACGTTCTAGCGGGTGAACGTATATTTATCTCCGAGCTTCGTTGAGTATAATAGGGTAATAGCTAAACTTCTGATAAACTTTGTCAAATTATTTGACTGAGACAATTTCAATTTTTTTTTACAAAATAATGGAAAATATGAGAGAACAGTAATACAAAAACGAAATTTAAAACACAACTTTGATTTGAATTTAAAATTTTAATAGATGTTTATATCAATGTTTATTGTTTTCTCTGTCCGAACTCAGCATCTGTCAAATTCATAAATGTTATGGGGACGATACGCAAGTTTATGGTAAGAGTTGATAGATGTTCGTCTGTGGTAGCTAATAACGGTTTATTATCTTTCTCGTGAACTAGGTTGCACGTGTTCCAATTTTAGTGTTTGTCAACTTTTATGTTAATCAGTTGTTTCTAGATTTTAGAAGAATTAGCTGTGCGTATCGAACTTATATTTTTTTTAGAAAATAAACATATTTACATTTACTCGCGTGTGAAATAATTCTAGTGAAAAAAATATCACAAAAAGGAATTCTATAACCTATCAATATTTTAAGCTTATTATGCCCCCGCCGTAGCGGAGGGGCATTAAGATTTACCCTTGTCCGTCTGTACGTCCGTGCGTCTGTACGTCCCAAATAATGCCAATGCTAAATATAAGGTAAAAGTCCAAGTCATCCTTTTCCCCCAATTAATAAAAAACATATATCACAAAAAGGAATTCTATAACCTATCAATATTTTTAGCTTATTATGCCCCGCCGTAGCGGAGGGGCATTAAGCTTTACCCTTGTCCGTCTATACTTCCATGCATCCGTACGTCCCAAATAATGCCAATGCTAAATATAATGTAAAAGTCCGAGTCATCCTTTTCGCCCCATTTAAAAAAAATATCATATATCACAAAAAGGAACTCGATAACCTATCAATATTTGTTAGCTTATTATGCCCCCGCCGTAGAGGAGAGGCATTAAACTGTACCCTTGTCCGTCTGTACGTCCGTGCATCCGTATGTCCCAAATAATGCCAATGCTAAATTTAATGTAAAAGTCCGAGTCATCCTTTTCGCCCCATTTAAAAAAAAATCATATATCACAAAAAAGAACTCGATAACCTATCAATATTTTTTAGCTTATTATGCCCACCGTAGCGGAGGGGCATTCAACTTTACCCTAGTCCGTCTGAACGTCCCTGTATCCGTACGTCCCAAAATTGGTTTCCGTTCTCTAACTTTAGTTTGCCTCAACCAATTGTCATAAAACTTGTACACAATATATAGATATAAGAAGATGTGGTATGAGTGCCAATGAGACAACTCTCCATCCAAGTCAAAATTTATAAAAGTAAACAATTATAGGTCAAAGTACGGTCTTCAACATGGAGCCTTAGCTCACACCGAACAGCAAGCTATAAAGGGCCCCAAAAATTACTAGTGTAAAACCATTCAAACGGGAAAACCAACGGTCTAATCTATATAAAAAACGAGAAACGAGAAACACTTATGAACCACATCAACAAACGATGCTTATTACCACAAAACACAGATCAAATTTTAATTTTGGTGGCGTCACTTTTACCGTTCTAGAGTTATACTCCTTTACAAATAGAAAAAATGCTGAAATTTTCATTTCCGTTCTCTTTAACTCCAATTTGTCTCAACCAAATGTTATTTTGTTCCATAACTTATGCTCTTCTGACTTAAAGTATCAATTTTAGATCGGTTTTTATGTTAGAATTTCACCTACCTACACCCTACAGATGGCTTTATTACACATTTTTGAATATTCAAAAAGAGCATTCTAAGGATAATTTTATATTCAACGTGTATAACTTCAATTGATGTTTTTACCTTTGACGCTTTTTTAAAACTTTTATTTCCCGTCTTACCAGAGAAGAAGTCTGTTTGTTAAAATTTTACACCATATTCACACGAAAAAAACATGATGACACTCGAAAAAGACCGATCAATTCACGCTTTAAAACGATCCAGGGCACAAAATCGTCTATTTTGTCGTCGTGAACTTTTCTTTTGATTTTTGTCGAGCCTGCGACTTTTGTCGCAAAAGCGAGACATAGCGATCCTACATTCCGTCGTCGGCGTTGTCGTCGTCGTCGTCCGGCGTCGTCGGGGGCGTCCACAAATATTCACTCTGCGGTTAAAGTTTTTGAAATTTTAATAACTTTCTTAAACTATTCTGGATTTCTAATGAACTTGGACAGAAGCTTGTTTATGATCATAAGATAGTATCCAGAAGTAAAGTTTGTAAAAAAAAAATCCTGTTTATCCGTATTTTAATCATAACTGGACTTAGTTTTTCTGCCAGTTAACATAACATTCACTCTGTGGTTATAGATTTTCAAATTTTAATAACTTTCTTAAACTATCCTGGATTTGTACCATACTTGGACAGTAGCTTGTTAATGATCATAAGATAGTATTCAAAAGTTAATTTTGTTAAAAAAATAATCCTGTTTATCCGTATTTTACTTATAAATGGACTAAGTTTTTCTGCCAGTTAACATTACATTCACTCTGTGGTTAAAGTTTTCAAACTTTTAATAACTTTCTTAAACTATCCTGGATTTGTACCAAACTTGGACAAAAGCTTGTTTATGATCAAAAGCTAGTATCTAGAAGGAAATTTTGTAAAAAAAAAATTCCTGTTTTTCCGTATATTACTTATAAATGGACTTAGTTTTTCTTCCAGTTAACATTACATACAGTCTGCAGTTAAAGTTTTTAAAACATTTATTAGATTCATAAACCATCCTGGATTCCTTCCAAACTTGAACAGAAGCTTCTTACAATCAAAAGATAGTATCTAGAGGAAAATTTGTAATAATTATTTCCCCATTTTTGTTAAGCCTGCGACTAACAGCAAAAGTAGGCGAGACACTGGGTTCCATGGAACCCTTACGAATTTTTTCGTATGAAACTGAAATGTAATCATATGTCAAAGTCTGCAAAAAGCAAAAGTATAGCTGTTTATACAAGTATTTCTTTTATTTAAAGTAAGTTCTCTGGGGTAAATTTCAGCAGTATGATTAGGGAATTCTTTATTATTTGAAGCAAAAATGCCATCAAGGTAACGGTAAGCGTTATTAAATGTATCTATTAAATGGAATTTAGACGAATCTTCACTAAGAAATTGGCCATTAACTGAAATTCATAACAATACAGGAACAAGTTCTGAAGTAAAGTATCATAAGGATGAAAATTAAGAATTGAAAAAAAATATTTGGTATTTCAAAAGTAGTTTTGTAGATAAATTGACGTGTGATTACAATGTAGATTTCAATCATTCCAATAAAGAGTTGGACCAAGTGATACCGGAGCGGACTGTTGTTATTTTGTTATGTTATATTAAACATGTAATATCACTTTTCATTCAATATGTGTGTCCCCCCCCCCCCCTGTTTCTTTAATAAAACATGAATTTAATTGAAAACTAGAGACACATGATAGATTATCATGATAATGATTATAGAAAGCCATTCAAAACAATTTACCAAATCTCTAAGGTTAGAATTTTATTGTGTGAACCATCAAGTTTTAAGGTGGATTAATTGGTTTCAGTGACAGATTTCCTCTTACAATATTTTATAACAAGTTTAATTGTTTCAAATGAAGGATTTATGCCCATCTGTCCAAACTCATTAAAACAAAAGTAAATAAGATGTAATTATAGTTATGTGCAATTCAGTATCCCTTTGCATTTTCATCCTTAAATTAAATGAAGTAATTAAGAACTTGTATCTGTCAAGACCTATTGTTATTGTTATTGTAAAATGAATGAGTATTCATTTGGTATAAATAAAACCAAATGAAGTGCAAATGTCAATCATTAAGCAACCCAACAAAAAGTAACTAAATAATAAGAACATACATTTCAAATATTAACAGAAGTATACATAATTAAATGTTTAGAAAAACCTCATTTAATTCCATTCCTATTGTTAATTCTAAACGTAGAATGAGAGGAAAATATTTATTTGTTTGCATGTATATGTTCACGAATACGTAGTAATCTTAAGAAAAGGGAAAACGTAAGCATTTCATAATTGTGACTTTCAAATTATGTCTATTTTTGTTATTGTAATAAATAAACCATTTTTGGCCACTTGCTCTCTTCTGTTTCCGTATGTTTTTTCTTTATTATTTTGTGATATTTATTTATTAAAGAT